TTTGTTCAAATTCATATGAAAAAAAGTTGAAAAAATAGATAAGCAAACATGTCAAAATGACCATCTTTCGACGAAGCAGTGCTTAAATTCATCCTGTTTTTTTATAAAGGTCTACAGCCGCTGCTGTCCTGTCATGCGGCTCCCTCTACCAGTGCGGTCGTCGATTACCACGTGATGTATATCATCCGGGGCACATATCAGGCTGTTCGCTGACGTCCACACACACTCACCGTCATTGGTCATAAACATGTTGGGGTCATAGGTGAAGCCGCTGTCCTCGATGGTGCCACAGTGGGCGTGCTCGCCAGGCAACTGCAGATTGATGAGCGAGGTGATTCCAAGCCTGCGGAGCCAGGGACACGTCATTAGCATGGCCCGAAGAGGTCCAACAGATTAGTTAGAGATTAGCCGGGTGGGCTACGACCGCAAATCCCGGCTTAATTTACACAATGAGCGACTTGCTGTGATTGGTGCAGGATTGCACGGCACGCACGCATGGAACGAACCGGTGACACATAAGACTGCGAAATATAAAAACACATCTTGGGCGCATTTCTAACAGGAACACATTTTCCGGTCGGCTACATTGAATATATATATATATATATATATATATATATATATATATATATATATATATATATATATCTATATCTATATCTATATCTATATATATATATATATATATATATATATATGTATGTGTAGAATACATATATAGAATATAGAATATAGAAATATGTATATATATATATATATTTAGAATAATATATATATATATATATATATATATATATATATATACATTTTCCAACTCCAAGGCTGCTTCGCATACACCAGACATATTTTTGCTGATTCATGCTGGTTACATTTTATTCTGTTTGGTTACGACACTATCAGCACCCGACATGAGCGTGCAAAGCATTAAGCGACGTCTAGCTTCCCCCACTGGTTTTCTAGGCAAACTTCCAAACCAATTAGGCAATCTACCCGACAATTCCTTATCCTAAAAAGTAGATGCAGCTGTCTTGTGTCAAAATTGTATTCACCAGGTGGTGCTAGTTCTTGCCAAATTACTTGCCATCACGTGTCTTTTGGCATAGACTTTGGAGACGCTTCCCGACTTGTTGACATTGCTTGATGTGCAATGGCCACATCACAACGACGTGTTGAAAACACGTTAAAGGAGGTCAACAGAGGTCAGCTCAGATCACTCTGGCCTCAGTCTAGATTGTCTTTGGTCAATTATGTGCTTCATTCCCTTCACATTATATCAAATGTGACGGAATGATGTTTGAGCAGTATTAATAGCGTTATTACTGGTTGAATAACGGGAAGAAAGATAAAGACATTTACTGATGTGTCGGGTACAAGCTTCTGTAGAAAACGATTATGAGCAGTAAATTCAAAACTAGGTTGTCAAATTCAAAACTTGGTTTGAAATTATTGTCTACTGTTGTTTTGAACAAGGCTTATAGCCAAAATATCAATCGATCTCTCTTTCTCCTAGTCATTTAAGGAGAAACAAGGCCAGCAGCACTGTTTCTATGTATGTGTTATGTTACTCGTAGCTGTACGATCAACAAAGTAATGAAGTATGCATGCAATTTAAAATTAAATCACATTTTAGGCAATACACATACGATCGTGCTCACGACGTCGCATGTCAGGCCACATTCAAAAAGTTTTTGTGTTTCCATACCAAAATATTGGAGTGGAGTAACCGGGGCACGCTGTGTTGTATGTGATCTGGATGCTTCCCCGCTTTCACTTAGGCCCAAGAGCGCGCTCTTCGATTACGTACAATCTTATTTAGTCACTCATAGGCTGCCAATTCAAGTGGAAAAGCATGTTTTCTTTGTTTTTGACATCATTTTACTCTCTCTGAAATCTACCAGTTCGAAGATCAGACTGAAATTGACTTAAGTCTTAATCGCTCTGCCCCGCAGGCATGTGTGTGGGCGTTTTTCCGGAGACACCATTCGATCGTGCTTCAAATCCAGTCTCCACTTGGTCTATGGCCTGAGCAATAATGTATGGTGAACAAGTTTAAATTCTGCCGATGAGTGGCAACGTGATAAAATGTCAACCACCAACCGTATGTGATGATATATATTGACCAGCGGAACGGTTAAACGTCGCCAACCTGATAGTGCAGTGACCCAAAGCCAGTTTAAAATAATGTCCGCATATGCAGCATAGCGAGCAATACTACAAGCATATGCGCATCGTTTAAGCATTCGAAACGTTTTGTAGTGATAAATAACAAGCGATCACAACTTCGACTAAATATTTCCAGTTTAGTTGCCTTGTATGAGACATCGGTGATCTTCGTCGGCGAACAAAGGCAATGTCAGACTTTATGACATTGTCTGAGTGTATTCATCCGAGCTTTTGATTGCAATTCAAATACGTGCCCAGAGTACAGAGAGAGGGTAAACACCAACCCTGTGACTCGTATGCAGCTATTAAACCCGGACCTCAGTAAACGCATGGCTGAAGACAGGCCAAGGATCTCATTTTATGTCTCGTTATATGCGGTATTCACCTTAACTGACCAGCAAACACAAATATCTTACATAAAGGTCGTAACTGCGAAGAAGCCAAAAAACACATAACGCAGCGAGAGCAAAACGTACCTTCGAAACTGTTCAATCGTACTCTTCTCACAGATTGTCTTGGTGTTTGGTCTTGCCATCGCCAAAATATCTTCTGTGATCCTGTAAAAGAAGATGGTGTTGATAAACCAACTATGACATGGTTTCTGTGCGGCAAATCTGTCGAGCCAGTCATCACGCAAACAGTGTAATAAAAACCTCGAGTTTTTTCTAGCTAACCGCTTAAAATCTTTTTTCAAAGATTAGGGGCCCTTCGCCGCTTGGGTAAATATATGTGTCGAGCAATGATGAACTGATTGAACCAGATATATAGCGAGGGGTTTGAGTTACCATCCAATGAATTTAAGCAGATAAAAGATACCGACGTTGGCAAAACACAGTTTAATGCAATAAGCTGTAGTATGTAACATATTGTGTTTAATTCAACTGAAATATGATAAATTTGCATGGGTAATTTGAAAAACGCGTTCTTGTTATAGCCGATGTAACCAGTTTGGGTTTATTTGTTAATTAGGTGGCTAAATAGTTGCCTCGATCTTCTGTTTTGAAATGAAAATAATCTACAAATTAAATTAATTAAGAACTGCACTGTTGGCTTGAACCCAGTGTCACGTCATTTGCGATGGTCTCTCAAAGTTGTACTCAACTGCGGTAAATTGATATGTTGGCCGTAAAATGCCATGCCGTAAACGCTGTCAACAGATCGTTCAAAACACGGCGAACATAACGATTTGCTTCAGAGACCACCGTGCTAAGCATCAAACTTGACCTGGTGGAGGTCATGGTGCCACGTGGGTTGACGTTACAAAGAGGCTGTCTCCATTGTCCCGCATCACCGCGTGCGTTGCCACTGGCCTGGACTGCGCAAATACATGTAGGAGATAAAGTTGATCGGCTACTTGTAGAACGGCGCAGCGACCCACGCTCATTTGGGGAAAATGTTTGCTTTCATAAATCCTTGCATGTATTGAGATCAAAGTTCCGTGAATGACGTATAAGCTAACTTCTTTAAGAAAACCAGCCCGCACATTCGGACGGATTGGATTGAACCCTCTCCAGCTTCACCGACTTCACCTACGGCTGTAGCGCCGGAGAGTTTATACGGTCCTTTCCCGATTTCGTTTGTCATGCGCCAGGACAGAAATTAACAACATGGTGTGAGCGCCGTACGTTATCTCCAATTTTTGCTACACTACTTTGCGATATATCTTACGCGTAACATATCACATATGGTTAATCAAATTCAAATTGAATTTTTGCTGCCTCTGCGGTTTTTTAATTCTTGCAAGAATTGGTTACAACCTTTTTTTGGATGCATTATTCAGATCAAACACTACGCAAAGCAATGCTTTTTGTTGTGTCCGTA